CAAAAATGATATTTAGGTCATGAAACTGTGCAACTCGCACGTAAGCAGCGTATGTTTCATCCTCTAGCTCAAAACACAGTCGCGAGAACGGACAGAAACGGGAATAATAAGGGATACAGCGTAACCGGTTATTGAAAACGAGGGAGAAAAAATTACTGATTTCACTGTTTTACCAGTGATTTTTGCAATTCCTATTAGCTTATGTAAAAATTTTTTGTGAATACAGAATGTGTTCTTTAAAAAGAAATGAAAACTGTTTCAAAATAAACTGGAAGCCGATTTCATCCAATCAGGACGTACTCCAAACAAACAACTACACAGCAACGCACTCCATTTTTATCTTCACTCAAGTGCAGTTTCTGCAAAACCTCAGTTAGATGATTCTTCAAATTAAAATCAAAGCTTTTTCTTGTTCAAACAAAAATACCTCGGCTCCGCTTTCTGGCTCTGTACGTATGCCAGAATCGTCAGCAGGACGACGATTTTTTGCTAATGCAGAGACCGCTGATTCAGCTGGTTGTGGTGGTAATGAACCAGCACGAATATCCGCCAAGGACTGGAGCTACAAAGCATTTTTTTAGAATCCTAAAAAATTTGCAGTTTTCTCTGAAACGTGGATTTAGAAATTACTCATTTGTCATCGAATTTAAACGACATACCTGATATGGTTTTGAGGGATCAATGGGAGGAGGTCCAGGAACTTTCGCTTCACCCGTATAATGTTCATGGAACGAACGCGTTGTCATCTGTGGCGCCGCTCGTGCAGCAGCTACTCTGGCAGCGCTTGCCGGTACTGCAGTCGATGGAGGAAGTCCTTTGGATGTTGACTGGAAATAAATTAGATTTTTATTGCAGTTTGGGTAACACTTTCAGCAGGATATGTTTTCCAGAAAATCTAAAAATGAACGCTGCACTCATACCGGCTGGCTGATATGTTCTTGTATTTCATCGGCAAGCCTCGCTTCCAGCGACTGGAGCCTCAGGACGAGCGCCTGCACCTGCTCCAGTAGCTCACGATTCGCATTTAGCAGCTGATGCGTCCGCGACTGAAACGTGATATGACAGTGAGATCGC